GTATGAGGAAGTTATGATTTTTCTAAGATTTGGCTTAGCAGTGCACAACCCGAAATTCGAATTTTAGATCGAGCGGTTTTTGGCCAACGCGACCTAAATGAGAGTTGAATATCTCATTAATATGAGCTCAACGGTAAAAAGACAGACGAAAACGGAGTCCGTATGTAGAAGTTATGAATTTTACGCGGTCATTTAACAGTATAATCTCTTCTTACTGTTAAATTTAAGATTGGTCGAGAATTAGCCGACGGAGTCAAAAGGAAAGTTATATATCTTATTTTTACCTACGTGTGGATATAAATAACATCGAAAACGGAGCTCGTATGTAAAAGTTATGAATTTTTGAAAATCGGCTGATTTACACCTTGTGTGCGATACCACGTGTCAGCACCAGGCGAAGCCTTGGAGCCTACGCAAGTTCACGACGTGAATTGAAGTTTCACGAAACGAATTCGCCCCAGAAAGCCTATAAATATAGGGTCGGGGGAAGCTCATTCCTCATACCTTTTACCCTCTCTTTCTCTCTCTAAACTCTCTCGCTAACCTCCCAAACCCCGCCTCCGAGTTATAATGAAGAAGTTATGGCATGTCGAAGTTTCGCGACAAAATCGGCACGACGCCGGGTGACGTAAATAGTGAATTTACGATAGAGGACTTTTTGGCCTTAGTAATCTAAACGAAATTTGTAGTACACGTTAAACCGAGAGCGTGCATAAAAAGAACGTCCAAATCGGACTTTGTATGAGGAAGTTATGATTTTTCTAAGATTTGGCTTAGCAGTGCACAGCCCGAAACTCGAATTTTAGATCGAGCGGTTTTTGGTCAACGCTACCTAAATGAGAATTGAAGATCTCATTAATAGGAGCTCAACGATAAAAAGACAGATGAAAACGGAGTCCGTATGTAGAAGTTACGAATTTTTCGCAGTCGTTTAACAGTATAATCTCCTCATACTGTTAAATTTAAAATAGGTCGAGAATTAGCCGACGGAGTCAGAAGGAAAGTTGTATATCTTATTTTTACCTACGCGTGGATATAAAGAACGTCGAAAACGGAGCTCGTATGCGAAAGTTATGAATTTTTGAAAATCGGCTGTTTTACCCTGTGTTCGGCGCCACGTGTCAGCACCGGGCGAAGCCTTGGAGCCTACGCAACACCACGAAGTGGAGAGAGGCACCACGACATGGTGACGCTCCAGGAAGCCTATAAATAGAGGTGTCGGGGCTGCCTCATTCCTCACACCTTCAATCACTTCTTTCTCTCTCTAGAAACTCTCTCTAAGCCTCTATAACCCCCCAAAGCCTAGTGTAACCCCCAAGCACGAGGCAGAAGCCCCGGAGCGCCTGACGGCTCCGAAAAGAAGAGCCTTCGACTCAGAAACTCTGCTTCGGCGGAGCCCGGTTTTGAGAAAAACTCGTTGTAAGTGAGCTACGCCTATCCTATCTTTAGTATAACTTAGGTTTTAATATA